CCGACACATTGAAAGTGTTAGTAGGAATTGCGGGGCAGTTTCGCTTTCCAGCCAAAACCCCCAGATTTCGTAATCGTTATTATGCACGGTTTTGCCGGTTAATTGGGCCAGAGTATTTGAGCTGGTGTGCCTTTCTTCCGACAAAAAGAAGAACGACGCTGAAGAAAGTCATCAACCGCTGATGCTTCTGCAGAAAAATGAAAGCAAAACCCTTCAAGCTCCTAGTTTTTCCTACTCACCCCCTCGAGTGAACAGACCAAATTATCCTTTCGAAAATTGCGGACTCGACATCTTGAGACCAATACAGTACAGATACCAAGAAGGAATCAAAAAATGTTGGATACTTTTGATCACCTGCCTAAATTGCCGTGCCATTGTGGTCGACGTTATTTACAGCCTTTCTTCAAATGCTTTTCTACTCAGCCTATGGCGTTTTGTAGCAACCAACGGTTGTCTAAAAGGGATCGTTTGCGGTAACGCACCGGCCTCCAAGTCCTTCTCACAAAGACAATCGGATGAGCCCCTGGATATGGAACAATCGGACGACCTTCTCAATCACTGCGCCACCAAGAAAACCCAATTCAAATTTATCGCCGCATTCAGTCCATGGTAGGGCGGTATCTATGAACGGTTGGGGGAACCTTCAAGACCGCTTTCAACCAAGCCATCAAGCCGAACACACAGAGAGAAGACTTGTCCAAGAAAGCAGAAGTCAATTCGAGCGAACATTAATATAAGATTAACGTCGAACCAGGGTCAACCGTCCGTTCGAACTGTTCGAACGAAGGGGTCGCATTTTGGTCGGAAGGGGGTCGCAATTTCGAGGACTGCCAGCCACAGGCGCGTGCGTGGCGTATCCGAGGGCAAGATTGCTTGTGCAGACCGCATTAGATTCGATTTATTATGCACAGAGAGACAGTTTTAGGCAAATTACGGTGTTTTCCTACGCAGTAAAGAACAGTTGAATGCATCCTATGAAAGGTTTGACTTCTCGGGGCTGAAAATAAAGTTCTTCAAAGACCTAATTTTTTGGGCGCTTCTTCTAGAGAACTGTAATATACATGAGTAAGCGTAAATCTCGTAGTCTTCAAAAATGTCTTCGTCCCTTCCCAACAAGCTTTTTGAAGGAAGTTATTATTGCTGAAAGCTCAAAAACTCGCATGTGCTGCTCAAAAACCTATGGGAACAAAATGTTCGAACGTGTGATTTTCTCGGAAAATGGATTTTGAAAAACGGTTTGGTGCTTGTCAGAAAGAGCAAATCCTTTTCACCCATGAAAAAGTGCATCACAGAAATGAAAATGAAGTGAGTTATGGTCGCTGAAAGCCCAAAAACTCGCTTTTGCACGAAAAAATGTTCGAACGGGACAATTTTTTGAAAAAGGGGACAATCACTAAACTTTTTACTAGTTTTGTTAGAGAAATATTTGAAGTTTCTGAAACTTTTTACAGATTTCCAAAATGTCGCATACGAAAGATTTTATGGGCCTTCAAAGTTGAAGGTGCGCCTTCTTAGAATTTTGGGTTTTCCACTTCTAACAGAAGTCCGGCGCAGACGCTTTCTGGCGCAACGGATTCATGTCTAACACTCTTATCAACAAAACGGGGGGGCGCGGCGAGGCTTAGAGGGTCGCCAAAAATCTCGAATGTTAGACGTAGCGGTTGACCTGGATACGCCAATAATACTTGTGTTTCGGTGGATTTCACGCCCTACCGCTTCATCTGTCTTTGTCACGCTTCCTCGACGAATACGACGACGACTGGAAATCACACTCCACCTCTAGGTATACCTTGATGAAAGACTGTAAATATGGTTCTCGAAACCTCTTGGGAAGATGGTAACTCGAATGTCTCACGAGTCTTCGCGAAAGACATCAAATCTCACATCCGCACCCGAGAACTTACCACAGCGATCCACCAGTTCAAGGCGACTACGTTCTCATTTAAGACGACAAACTCAAAAGAGGCACGTGGAAAGTGGGGAGAATATGTAGATCCCAAGATAACTACTTTCGATCACTGCAAATCCAACCTCCCGACAGATCATCACAAGGCCGATAAATCTAGTTAGCCGCTTCAAAATTGATGCAAAGGATTCTACTGCGGACCGCTCTGCAGCCGGCGATACACATGACAGGAAGAACACTCCGACTACTTCACATCCCATGATCACACGATCCAAAGCACGAAGACTTTCTGTCCAAAATTTACTCCTCTCCATGATGATTATGCTGCTACCGTATGTGACTTCAACAAGTAATCGATGCCCTGAAAGAACTAACGACCAAACGAAAGGTTCTTTACGCAACCCCTGCGTAACAAATGAAGTAGCAATAGCGACATATACAGAACAAGAGCAAACATACTTGTGCTGGTTTCCAGTAACATGCCCAAACGGCAAAATTCGGGCTACATTCCCCCTTCAATCGGTTCACAGCTCTGCGACTCACGGTGTGAGTGTCCAAAATGGGCACAGTCCTGTTCGTGTTATAACAACTCACGAAGTCCAGGGAATTAAACGTTCATCCAGAATTTCTAAATTTCATTCCGACCGACGTCTGTTCCTTCAGCAAATCCGGCAACTGTAGCTCGAGGAAGAAAATTGGCACTTTCAACCAGATCGAGTTATTTGGCAACAGTGTCCTACTAGTGCCAAGACTCCAGATAACAATCAAGGACTATCTCAATTCCAGTGACTCCATGTGTATTAACGCAGGAGGAGAGCGAGTTTCCACCGCACCACCATTTCAAGGAACATCTGTCTTCTGCGAAAACCATTCATGCAGCGACCATGTCAGCAAGTTCTGCATATACGATACTTCCACAGCACTACATGACTTCAGCAATACGAAGTCTTCCACTATTCTCAGCGGACTATAAGTGAAAACTGACAGGATAATTGACGTCATTGAAGCATGCATCGCCTCCTACTGTATCTTCACAACACACATATCGGCCACTTCTCTAATGTTTCCGACAGAGCTCATTGTCTTCAGATATACGGTACAAATCAGCGGATGGCAAAATGGAATACGTGTTCATCAGACTCCAGTAACATGCCCTGCTCATCCCATCTGAATTATTGAAGTTATATAGTTATATAGTTATAATAATAGTAATAACTGAAGGAATAATGAAGTTCGCTGAGTATAGATTTTATTTGCGACGGGTTGATTCGATCCCTCCCATCTATCCCATCCCTATGTTTTGTTAAATCGGGAGGAAATTCTTTGAATTTGGCCGATGTGCAGCATTTGGTTCTCACTAGGAACGATGCGCGGTTTCGGGGTTACCTCTTCGACGATCACGCCTCTTCTTATGTGTTCGTTCCGGGGACCAGGGATTCTACGATCGAGATGTATTGAATTTCATTTTAAGACTATGGTGATGATTCCAGCGTATTAGTCGCAATAACTTTAATCTGAAACCATTAATTTTTTATGTGAGTGAAGGTATTTGGTCGTTAAGCGCGAACAAGGCTGCTCTTTGCGTCTGAAACGGCGCAAGGTCAACGGGGCTTGCCATTTGCACCACGTGATTTTTCGACCAGCATTCTAATCATCCCATCGCTGCGAATTATTTTGTGTCTGTTGCGAGTCGCCTCCTCTTATACTCTCTAATTCCAAGTTCGTTCTACATCTTTTCTCTTTGTTCTCAGGATTCTTGGACCTGCTATTGTGTTTTGTTTCGACAACCCGTCTACCGACTGCAGTATTTATGTAATTATCAAAAAAACTCTCTAAAATATCTGTTTGAGTGCAATTGGCCCTGTTGTCAATCAAGTGTTACCACACTTTGACAACTTTTCTATATCGACTTGACGAAGTTGTCATGTTGAAAAGCGTAGGAGGCGAATGGTCCCGAGCCACAAGTTGCAGGTGGTTGCAGCTCCGTATGTAGGGTTATGAGCGTGAAATAAGACTTCAGGGAAAGGGTGCCCCGTGAATTCCGTGAGAGGAAAATTTGCAAGCTTTACCGCGCCCTACCTTTTACTAGTTTAAAGAAGGCGTGAACGGTCAGAACCCTATCGCTTCTCCTGCGAGTCCACCCACTTCCGCCTCTCTAGTTTTTTGTCGTCCATTACGTTTTTTGCAGCGGTTACAGTTACAGCGACATTCCAGCACGCTCGAGCTGACTTCTCCATAGAGAAGGGGCTCAGAAATTGCTGAAGTACTCTTGCTGGAGCCTCGACATTTCTTGGCGATCCGTTATAAGGTGCGGTTACTCTTGCGCAGGTCCCGACTTCTTTTCCACAAGTTCTATCTTGAGCCATTGTCGTTTAGTGGACCATCACCTTAATTGAATTAGAATCGCAAATATTGTTTCTGTGAGCAAGAGAGTCTTGCCATCGCAGAGGGGGCCGAGAACGAGGTCGTTTCTTCTCGCGAGGTTCCCAGCGCTTGGCTGCTCTGCTCCAGCCTTCATCGTCACGCCTTATGAGATGTCCAGCAAAAAATTGTTTCATCAATATGCAAAATGTCTCAGCATTATCTGCCGAAAGGCCGTTTTTTTCCAGAGGAGTTGAATCGAGGTGGTCTAATAGGAGAGGCATGCCGCTTGACAGGGAAGAGGTGAAGAAACCATTCAGCAAGGCTCACCAATGAAAATTCAGTGTGATAAGGAAATGCCCTCGCAATACGTTTTTCTCAGTTTTTATTAGTAATATGTAGTTTCAAAAAATCAGCGCATCAGAATTGTTGTACCAATGTTTTAGTTCACGACAGCTGCCTAATACCTGCGTCTTAGCAAATTTAGAATACGAATTTTCATGGCTCTCATTCTTAGCCTCTACTACTAGC